TAACTTGCAAAATACATGAAAACAATTCCTAAATACATTATTTATTAATCTACAGCTTTAAACAGATAATTCACAACAATCATCAGAGGAATAAAAAATGTCTTTTAATACAGTCCATGCCATCTTATATCCTTCTTGTAGAAATAACCGAACATGTCTAATAGCCCTAGTGCACTACCCTACACCTACAAGGCTTTCAAGCATACACCCTATAATATAACAAAAAACAAATAATTAGTTTAAAACATAAATAAATATATAACTAATCTACAGCTTTGTAAATATACCTCACAACAGTCACCACAAGAATAAAAAATCTATTTTAATACATTCCACGCTATCCTATATCCTTCTTGTTGAAATAATGGAGATATTTAATAGCAACAGTTTACCACTACCCTAAAACTGCAAGGCTTTGAAGCATAATTATATAACAAAAACAAATAATTAGTTTAGTTTGCCACACCACGTGTATGGCTCACCAAAGGTAATGTGACAAACTCCCTCACTCAAACCGGAAGAGTTAAAGTGAAAGCTATAACCTCAAAAGTATCTCCCTCCCTCCTCTCTCTCTCTCTTTGCAGCCCACTCTACCGATAAATTGTGCTCAAATTTGTAAATATAAAGTTGACAAAGAGAATCCATGTGTAGCACAGTTACCCATCACATTTCAGACCTCATAACAATGCAAGTGTAGCACAGTTACCATTATTAACTCAGACCTCAAGCAAAGAAAGAGCAAAAGGAACACAAAGACAATGGGGTTAAAAGTTATATATGACTTTATACACAGCCTAGAAAAAAAACATTGTTTTGATATCAATTCCATCAGCTTTCCAAACCAGCTATAGTGACTAAGAAGTTTCACAATAAAAGGCATACCTATCATAATACTGGTGCAACTTTTTGGTTGGAAACTTAAGTGTTTGGATATAAATGTGAGCAAGAGAAATCCACTGCTGCTGGGAAAACTCAAAGTGAATATACTTGTCCCACAAGATATGACATAAGTAGTCCTTCCCAACAAAGGAAATGGCTCTAGTGAACAATCTGATTAAAACACATCAAGAAATCATCTCATTTCTTTAGCATAAGCAAGAGTAACAACTATAGAAGAGGTGATAGTGTGGAAACATAAGCATACTGCTAGAATAGGTTCACCTAACCGTTTATCCAAACAGTTTCTACTACCATGTGTGCATTCATCCCATAAGTTAACTATACCTACCTCCGAATATCGGATGGGTCCTCAAAAGCTGACATGCCAAAGCTGCAGTAATCAAACCACACACCGACTGAATATGTTGCTGCCAACACAGCTTTTTCAAACACTTCAACAACCTTATCTGTGGTGGATATGCATGTCATGTGGGCAGCATACTTCCTCCAATACCCATGACACAAAGGAAATTTGGACAAGAAATTATTATAAACCAGACATATCTTGTCCACATCAGCCTGCACAAATTGAAGAAAATATATTATTGACTTAATCTTTGTTGTACCCATAAATCCCATAATCAAAATGAATCAACACTAAGATGCAAAATAGAAAGATTCATCACAAAGTATGGCATTGGATACGTCATTATATTTCAAGACAGGTAGAAAGAAAATTATTAGTATGTTGAAATAGAAGCATAAAGCTTGAAGATTTGGTCCCTCGAACCACCATGTGCAGAACCATGGGTTTCAATGATGATCTGATCTTGGGCTTAAGTTGTAAATTTTATGTTTAATATGTTGTAAGTGATCTCTCTATCTTTGGTATTGCATAGATGATGCACAAATTTGTTTTTGAAGTGTCTTGACCAAGTTTAAAATACCAATGTTGTCTTAATGGAATAAAAATCTTTTTGATCTATTAAAATGTTTTTCAAGTCCTTCGGAATGGCAAGAGAACATTTTAATTTATTAAAATCACTTAAACCTTTAATCAATTAATTTCACTTAAACCTTTAAAACTAGAAATTTCTCCTTGGTTTACTTGATTAAATCACAATTTAATCCATTAAGATCACTTAAAGACCCATAGAGATTTTAATGGATTAAAAATATGAATTAATCAATCAAAATTGGTCTCTAGGGCTACAAAGTCTATTCAAATGAACTAAATCTATCAACTTTATATAAGAGAATTATCGCCTATCTTCATTGATGGAATTTGGAGAAGTTTCATAATCATTCTAAACACTTGAGAAGACCCTATAGTTCAGAGAAACACTTCCCTAATTTGTTTTACAAAATTAATGATTGAGTGAATCACATGGTAATTCACCTTTGTATTTTTTTCTACTCGTCTTGTTCTACAACTTGTCCTAGTGATCTTCCAGTGTTGTCAAGTTGTTTCTTGTGATAGGGTTTCATAAGTGATCTTGTAGGGTTTAAGATTTTCCTATGTGATTGTAAGAGATCTTGTAGGATTCAAGGTTGCAGTCTTTGTATATTCTTTCTAGCTTTCTTGTGTTAGTCGCATAAAACTTCAAGGTGATTAGGAAACTAAATGTAGCTTCTCTTGTTGTGAAGGTGTATCGGTATAATTCTTGGTATTCTTCTTCATCCCTTTATTCTTGCATATTAAATTTGAATTGAAACTTTTTTGTATGCATATATTTTATTGTAAAGATTAAAAATCATTATCTTGAGATTTAGTGAAGCCTAAAGAACATTATCTTGGCAATCATCCAACATTTTAGACAATCAACAAAGATAATAATTTAATTAATTAATTTGTTTAGTTAAACTAAATTAATACAGCCATACAATACAATGAACATCAAACATAAGTTTTTTATGTTGATCTCAATAACAAATGAAAAATAATGGAAGAAAAACAATTACCATTTTAAGTTATTGCAATCAAACTTACCGGATATAATTTCTCAACCTCTGAAATCAGTAAAGTCCATTCATCAAAACCTGATAAGCCCTTAGAAATAACTTCTTGAAGATTGAGATTGCCATCAATACCTTCAAAAAGAAATGAAATAAATGACAAACCCCAACTCAGTGTCATTGTTACTAACTTTCTGTGTTGAAAAGATTCATGGGATGAAGAAATAACCTTTACAGAACATGGAGAGATAACTAAAATGCAATGAAGTAACTAATAAATATGCATCTCTTAATTAACAACTAATCTCCAAAAAATGGTGAAGAAAAGAAATACAAGAAGGTTCCGAAAAAATAAAGGGTAGCGAAGGAAGGAAGTACAAACAAATACAGATAAGAAGCTAAGACCTCACCTACATATCATTATTTACGTTATAATACAAGCATTAAATGTTATAACAATTTGCTAACAGGCTACCATAAAGTGACAGTATTTTCAAAAGTAGACTAAAAGTTTTCATGCACAAAAAGTATGCTGCCAATACACGTCAGACGAATCCATCACTATATTTCATGATTCCAACAAGCAATGAAAGTATGCAACCATCTACAGAATTTCACTTTGTTCAACACTAAACCTCCAGCTTTCATTGATTTTGAAGCAATTTAACCTAAAGTTCAAATTTATCACAGGTCCAAATTCTTAAACTATTTAGTCCACGGCAACCTATTTATTATAGACATAAATATAAGGTATTATTTATAGATTACTTAAATCAGTTAGCAAATTAGTCAAGTGCAGTTGTTTAGATTGGGTAAATAAGCCCCATCATTGTAAACTCACATTATTCATTCTGAGACAATTTACACTTTTCTAGTTTATCACATTTCTTTTCCAATTCTCTCTTCTTTGTTATAGTTCAGCAATGGATCCTGCTACTATTTAAAATAAAACACTGAGCAGTGAATTCTTGGCTCAATGAAACATTCCAATGCGCCATGGCATTTCTATTTGCTTCATAAACATTGGCAGATTTCTAAACGAATCAATTCAACTGCACTCTAATATAATCTCAGAAAGTGGCGAACTAATTACACGCACAGGTCCAGATTCTACTGTGTTTAAATAGTCCAACTCAGCAAAGAGAGAACAGCACGTATACGTGATAAGACGAATAAAATGCACAATAACAATTATTATAATTATTATTATTATAATAATGAGCATTCATACAAACAAATGAACAAATCAGAAAAAAGAAGAACAAGAAAAAGAAAGATTACCTGACGAAAGTATCGGTGCCATTAGAGAACGATGAGAGAGAATACAGGCACCACCCAGTACCGTCGTCGAGGTGAGAGTAAGAATGAAAAGAAAGATAGGTTCGAGTTTTCGCCCGTTCCCAACTCCTCTCGCTGTTGTTCTGCTTTATTAATTTCTACCTTTTTTATTATTATTTTTTTGTTACTGTTAAATAAACAAGTGATATTTACGGGAAAAAAATTGTTACATAAAAATAGTTGGTGTTTTTGTGTTATTAAAGAAAACGTGTTGTAATTATTTTAATACAGGAGTAATTTATATTAATTATACATAATAAATTGTTGCTCTTATTACATTGCTTAATTTTAATATTTAAAAAGAAATCACCTAAGTCTTCCTAAATTAATTAAAATTATATTCTACCATATTATGTAAGCATTTGTATGATTGTTTAAATGAGTTGAATTATGATTAAAATGACTAAAATAGTTTGATTGAATCCTATTAATGGCTAAAATAGGGATAAAGATGAAAATAAAGTAAAAAAAATAGATAAGAAAATATACATTTAAAATAATGTAAAAAAATAATGATAATAGATATTCCGATGTTTTATGATTACTTAAATTACTGATTAAAGTTTAACACAACAATACTATCTATGTTGAAGAAATATTTAAAAAAAAAACACAGGTCAAATTATATGTGAAATTTTTATTAAATGTTACGGAATTAATAGCTGATTACAAAACCTTGTAAGATACTATGTTGCAAAGCAAAAGCATGAATAATTATATGAAAATGAAAACATATAAAAGTGATTTTGTTTTTTAAATAGTAATTTAAATTTATAATATAAACATATATGATATTTTTCTCTACAACTTTTATATTGTGATTGATATTTGTGTGTGGTTTATCGTTGCGAAAACAGTGAACAGAAAATGAAGATACAGGCACTGTCACCGCTTCTCCAACGCCCGTTTCAGCCTCTATTTCCTCCGCTTTCTCTTGGATTCACTTTCAAACCTTCTTTTCTAACTCCAACCAAACACGCCCCTTTGCACTCTTCGTTCATCCTATTTTCACGTTCTTCGAGGTCAGTTAAGTTTCGTCCCTCTTTTGCAACGGTTACAGAAACCGAAGGGGTTGTTATTGACGACGGCGACACCGAACCGGGCTTCGTAAACGACGGCGACAACGAGCTGGGCTTTGTTAACATTGGCTACATATCGAGTGTTCATGGTATTCAGGGCGAGATTCGCGTGAAACCAGCCACTGATTTTCCTGAACTGCGTTTTTCCACTGTAATGTTTATTTTCTGTTCTTTTATTGCATTTGTCCATATTTAAAATGCTAAGTAACCTTGTGTGTTGTGTTGTGTAGCCTGGGAGAAGATGGCTGAAGAGCAAGGTTTTGGGTGGACAAAGCATTCAAGAAGTTGAGCTGGAGGAAGGTAGAGAACACCCTGGACTCAAGAGTTGGATACTCAAATTCAGAGGAATTGACACAGTGGAACAGGTTTTTCCATACACTGCCTAATTCTTGAAAATTTTGTTTCACTAGCCTATTATAGTCATGCATGGACTATAGAGTTTGATTTCAATGTAAAGCTTTACGTAACTAATAAATTTGGTCCTGAAAGTTATTGGAATAATTTATCTTGATAAGTCAGGCTTATTGAAAATAAACTAACAGAAAATAACTTATGTAGGAGTCATCAGCTATTTTCCTGAGCCCAAATAAGCTATCTCTAAGCTCGTATAAATGTCCCATATGTCTCTGTATATGTTAATTCAAGAAAGAGGAAGCACCTTAGAGAATATATCTTTTGACTAATCTTATTCCAAAGTCAGTTTTGATGCAACAATAACAAACACAGATGCTACATTTTCTTACAATAATTGCTTCTCGCCTTTATTTATTGCACCTGGAAAGGAATCGAGCACTTGTGCTTCGGAATGGGAGCGTCAAGTTTCCAATATTGACACAGCCCATTTGTGCAATGTTTTTTGGCTTTTGCTAATCAATAGATCGTGCAGGCTAAGATGCTTATTGGATCTACGTTGCTTGTGACAAAAGAAGACAGGCCGGAATTGGAGGAGGGTGAATTTTACACACATGATTTGATAGGGATGAAAGTATTTATGAAGGTTTGTTCTTATCAATCACAAATCTTGCGTATATATGAAAAAAACCACTTTACCTCCCCTTATTTATTATTTAAATTGTTGCTAAAGGTTCACCTATTAATAAAATAAAAATTATCCCTCTCATATTGATCAGTTGTTTCTCTGTAATTTTGTGACTCTCAGCTGTGTGCTCTTATGACAGAAATGCAAACTGTTTGCAGTATAATTTATACTCTTCCGTAAAATAGGATTGTTCCTTTTCTATTGAGCTCTTTTCTAGATACATATCTGAGTGCTAGGTGCCCAGTTGTACCAAGGATCCAGCAAATGAAATGCCAAGTGCTAATATAGTGGTAAAAATAATGAAAAAGGCTACTATAAATAACTTATAGATATTGTTATGCTGATATGTATGAGCTTTGAATTTTCTACTCTGATATCTTTGTCACCTTATAATGAGTTTTTAATCCTGAATGCAATTTTTGAAGGTGTTGACCATGCTTGTTCCTATCAGGAAAATGGAACACTTGTGGGAACTGTTGTAAATGTTTTCAATAGTGGAGCCAACGACCTACTACAAATTGCACTTGATTCATCTTTTGATATGCTTGATAAGAGTGGCAAGTCAAAGTCTGCAGGAACAGATGTATCTGATCAGCTTGTTTTGGTACCTTTTGTTGAAGCCATTGTTCCAGATGTTGATATGAAAAGAAGAGAAATGCATATTACACCACCTAAGGGACTCCTGGAATTAAATTTACGATTTGATGGGAGGTCCAAAAAAGAAAGGCGCCAACTTGTGAGTCATACTTCCGTGATACTTTGTTACTAATTTGTTACTGTAAGCAGTTTTTGTTGCCACTGAATATATGTTTGAATTTTTGAAAACTGAATATACTTCCCTGAAATAGAACTGATACAATCAGAAGGTATAAATAAAAGTAGAAGAATAATTTTGTACATTAATATGGCCTAAAAATCAGGAAAACAATTACTCCTATAACTGTTCTAGCTAAAAAGAACGAAAGAAAAACTCTAGTTACATCAAATCTTATTATTATTATTATTACCATACATTAGAAGACATTAATTCTAATTGATTTCCATATATCAAATCTCTTGATTCTGGTTTCTTTCTGTAATTTTCAACAATATTATATTAGTATTAATTCTAAATCTAAACTAATTCCATGTCAACCTCCTCCTCAAGTTGGGTCATTAATGTCAATCATGCCCAACCTGGATCTCAGGTGCTCATAATTTGCTGTTGGTAAAGCCTTGGTCAATATGTCAGCAATTTGATGAATTGTAGGAGTGTGCAAAAGTTTAATTATCCCATTATCGACAACATGGTTTTAAATTAAGGGTGTTTGAAGGCATTTTGTTCGCTTGGTAGGCTGAAGGAAGGACTACTTCACCCCAAAAGTGACTTGGTGCATTAGTTGATACCATGAGTGATCTAGTAACTTCCTTGAGGTGTTTATTCTTTCTTTCTGCGATTTTATTTTGTTACAATGAGTTCACACATGAAGTTTAGTACAGAATGTCAGACTTGAGAAGGTATTCACTAATAGAATTGTGGAGATACTCCTTCCTACCGTTAATTCTAAGGACTTGAATGTTGGCTTGAAACTTGAATGTTGGCTTGGTGCATTAGTTGATACCATGAGTGATCTAGTAACTTCCTTGAGGTGTTTATTCTTTCTTTCTGCGATTTTATTTTGTTACAATGAGTTCACACATGAAGTTTAGTACAGAATGTCAGACTTGAGAAGGTATTCACTAATAGAATTGTGGAGATACTCCTTCCTACTGTCAATTCTAAGGACTTGAATGTTGGCTTGAAACTGAATTTGGATCATGTCATAGAAATTTTAAAAAACCATCACCATTTCTGAATTTTCTTTCATTAGGAACACCCATACAACCCTTATTTGATCATATATGAATGTCACAAACTACTTCGAACCAGTGACATTGTTAACTCAAGAAGTCTTCTATACATCATTCTGAATTAATGAAAATGGGTATGATGGTTTATACTACTGATAGGATGTCCTAGGTGATAGTTTCCATAACACTAGAATTTTTATTCAACGAAGTCAGAAACAACTTTTTCAAATAAGCAAAATTAATGTGTCCTAGATAGTAACATATCATCACATCATCTTTGGAAGAAACCCCATGGGCTATCTTGATGTTTTTGTTTTGATCTTCTGCTCAAAACTTTGCTTCCTTAGCATTGCCAATCTACCTGTGTCCAGATCCTGAAATTCACACATGTGGGGAACAAATTCAATAACTCTTTAAATCTCTGATAATTTACTGATGGACAGTAAGTTGCTGTTCAATTTCAGTACATATGAAACTTATTCAAGAGTGATGTTGTGAATATAATCACAAAACCTTTACCATCCACTTTAATGGTGTCAGGAATGGAAAGAAAGAAAAAAGTTTCAAAAGCGTCTCATTGCAGCAAAAAAGAAACTCTCTGAAATGGAGCAAAAACATGTATTTCAAGGATATCACCATGGAGAGAAAGATCAATGGAGCTTGCTTAGTGATCAGATTGTTAGTGTAAACTCCAAATTGCTCCAGGAAGCTTTACAAAGTCTTGAACGTCCAGCAAAGAGGCAAGTTAATATGACAATAACAACAATGAAGCTTGTCTTTACTAATTTAATAATTTTTGTCACCAATTCCTAACCCCTTTTTTAATGAAAAAGGAAAATATCGTTTTATGTATGTGTGGTTTCATTTGCTGGAATTTTCATTTGTATTTTGACTTTTTTAATCAGATGGACAGTAGCTGAGTTGACCAGTGCCATAGAAGCAAAGCTTATAAATTCCATCCAATTATCAGAGGAATATTTGTCAAATGGAAGTGAAAATAAGTTGGTTAGAGATATGCAAGAGAAGGGACATAAGCTCATGTCTGAGGGCAAAATGGCTACTGTCTTTCTCTTGAATGAAAAAGAGCATCAGGGAATCATTTATGACTCTAACTTCGTAGAAAATGAAGCAGTTGACACTTCAATTCTTCAAATGTTTCAAAAGGTAGTGCATTGAAATTTTTTCAAATATTTACTTTCTTGTTAATATCCTTGTAGTGATGATTAATTGTTGCAGAAATCTATTTATTCTGTGATCCATCAGATGGATTTTGTCTATTAATCTAATCACAACAAAGCAAGAATCTCTTCTACAAATACTCGAACAAATCATAAAAAAGCCATCATTTAAAGTTTTGTTATTCATTTTAATTTCATTTCCACTATTTTTAAGAGAAGGTACTATCTAATAAATTTTCATCTTTTGCAGATCAAAGGTCGTGATTCTGTGCCTTTAATTTTGGTTTCCTCAGCCCAACAAATTCTGTCTTTAAGAGATCTGTTTACAAGCAACAATTACTTCGCTTTTGACTCTGGAAAGGTTCATGTCATAAAGCATCTCTTTTTATGTTGTGTATTATCTTAAAGAAATATGTGCTCAGGTTTTTTAGTTTGGCATATCTTTGTTCTATCCTAAGTTATGTATACTTAAGGTTCAGAATCTTTTGCTGAAAGAAAACGTTGATATGGCTTTAGTATCCACATTACCTTGGCTTTCATCTTTAAACGTTAGTTTTCCTTTACTTCTTGATCTAACAACGTTTTTGCCTGTTTTTTCATGTTTTTTCCTGTCTCCTGGTCAATATTGTGCTATGAGTGAGTTGTCTCAAAAGAAAAAAGTTAGCTCTAGAAAAGAGGTTGAATAGAGCATAAAAACACTTTGCGAACTTTTCATAAGATGGTAGTGACTAGATGGTCTGCGAATGATTGTCTTATAGTTGAAAAGGATGTCAAACAAGTTTTTGCGAACAGCTTGTAAAAAACAGCTAAAAACTAGTACTGAGAGCAAAAGATGAGGTAGTGAAACACTTTAATCTTTATATTGGTTCAATTCTCCTTTTTGCAAAAGGTTCCACTAATTGAAAAATTATTTCAAGTATTCTCACTGTCACCTCTAATTTTCAAGAAATACATAAGTTACTCTTGGTTATCCATTTATGTCCAACTAATATAAGGAATACAAGTACTCTTGTTTCATTAAGTCACTTCTTGCCTTCCCAAACTGTCACTTCCTGTTACAACAAAAGAGTTGTTTATAAGATATAAAGATATCTGTGATGAAAGGATATACAAATACGAATTCCTTGTGAGAGATATACTTCACAGAGAGAAATAGCACTTAGATAGTTTTTTGCTTGGCAGCACAATACATTGATCTTTAACGTAGAATCATTATTTGGTTTTGCATGGCAAGTCTTCTATTTATGTGTCTTGAATATGATTGTTGTGAGTAGTTTGTTGATCTTTTGTTATGTGTCAGAGTTGTGAGTAGCTGACAAGATTTCCACTACACTCAACTTGAATTTTATCATGCCTTGTTTGGAACATGCTTTCCTTCTACTGACAGCACTGTTTTAAGCATACAACTGCAGAAAGTAGCTCTATTAGAGCCTTTATGGGAATGTGTAAGTCAACACTGTGATGGTTTCGCACAGTCGACCAGTAGATTGGAATATATTATTCTTATGCCAGAGCATTAGAAGAGCATCTTCAACTCGTGCGGATGAGACACTTTTAAGACATAGTATAGTCTTAGCTTAGCTTTTTATAGAAAGATGGTCTTGCGATTTTCCTGATGAACATGCTTTAAAACACTATTGTAACACTGGTGTCTATGAAGACTACATGGTTTAGATTGACTGTGTCTGTGAAGACTACACTATTGTAATACTGGTGGTTGAGAGAAGATAGATAAGATATATCAAATTGTCTCATGACCAGATCGATTAGCTTTAACAATGTCATCATCCAGCCATATTAGTTTATTCTGTGGAAGTGTAAAGGATGGAATATGTTGTTTGCACACTGGCACATTGCTTGGAAACTGAATTTTTCAATATTGCAAGTAACCTTTAACTTCTTATGGTATTTACCTTTAAAGATTTCGTTATGTCTACCATGAACGATAATATCTTACACTCAGTCGAGTGATGCAAGCATCAATTTTCAATTGGTGCACAAAATAGCATTCAATGATTGCATAATTCACTTCTCTCTTGACTTCATGTTTTAACCCTCTTTCAGGTATGGTTTTTGGAGGAAGAGAAGCTGCCAGTAGTTAGCAGCTTGCCTGAGGGACAGAACAAATATAAGATTTTAATGAAATCACCTTGGGAAATACTCCAATCTCCTGTTGGATCTGGAGGACTTATTAGCTTGTTTTCAAAACATGGCATTGCAGATAATCTTATTGACATGGGTGTTGAGTACATTGAGGTTAGATTTTTTTCTCTCTATATTGAGATTTGTAAGGATTATACTATTAGTTTTTAAGCTGTAAAAACAGAGTAACATAATTTTGTTAGGTTTTTTGTTGCTGATTTGATGCATCTACTTTTACTTCGACTCATTATTGCAGTCTCTATTGCTTCAGCATTTTAGCCAAATAGGTAAAGAAAGTTCAGATGCTGGTGAATGGATGAGAAACTTGATTCTCTGATTTTTTTTTTCTGTCTGGGTTATTCTTACACTTTGAGATGCTTAAATAGTTTTTCTACGTTTCCTTTGTGCACAAAAATTATGGACTCTGTTTCAATAATATTAATATAAGGATATATGTGAAAATGCACAGTCATTATTACCTCTTGCGATATATAGTCGATCATTCTCTAATGAATTAAAGAAAAATCACTCTTTTAAAAGGCAGTGTTCTTTTTCTTGTTGTTTAAGTATGCCTACCACTTTGTGATGCTTATATTTTAAGGCCACAGGCCTTGGGATCCTGTCTTTCTGTGCCTATGTTTTTGTTGAAGAATTGCAGATATTTATTGCATTATTTGGTTTTAGTTCTTTTTTATTTACTATTTTTCTTTATATTAATAGATGAAAGAGATTTTCCAAATTTACTCGTGCCCTGTTTTCTATCGAACTAGTATACCTTCTTCATACATACATTTCTTTAAAAGAAGCATGAGAACTTTCTCAGGTGGATGAAGTTGTTATTTTGTCCAAAGTTGTTCATTTCTATTTATTTGTGAGCTTTCTGTGCCAGGACATATACACATGCTGCTGTTAATTTTCTTAGAAGTAAGCTTTGTTGCTATAATCAGGAATGAATCTAGAATACTGTGCTGAAATACTGAATTAAAATTAAACATTTAACAATCTGTTCTATTCTAGGTTTAGAACGATTATAGGTATGTTTGGATATATTTTTCCATAAACATTCATAAGGAAAAAAATAAAATTAATTGTTCCGCTAAAATCAACTTATTCACTTAAACATTTATAAAAACTTTTGCATCTAACTTCTCCAAAAGTTATGCATAAACTAGTTCGTTTTACTTTATTTTTAACTCATGGGAGTAACTTAATTGATTTTAGTGTTTATAGTAAATTGATATGAGCAAAAGGCTATATTTATTCCTCATTGATTTTTAATGGCCATATACTTTCCCTAGTTCATTTCTTCTGTACCTTCTTGCAGTTATGCTGCCCAAGTGAAAAAATTGCTGGGGGAAACTCATTGCTTCTTGGGTTGGTTGAATCACGGGAAGCCAAAATTGGGATGCAAATTCGGCGTACGATAACTGATCCGGAAAAATATTGTAACGCGATATTGTCAATGGACTTCGTCAAGAAGTTGCAGAGCAACAAACTCCAATTTGATGCAATCCCAAGGGCACATTCCTGTGTTGAAAAAGTTGACAAGGAATGGGTTACTGTAACCACATCCACCCCTAACTCATTTGAGCTTTCTTGTAGTATATATAGTTCCTTGAATGCATGCTCTTTGGATAAGGTTTGTATAGTGGATGTCACAGAATAATTCAATGAATTGTATAGTGATGAGGATTATTGGATAGTGTTTCGAAATACTCATGTAAATGAGGAAAAAAGAAATAGCAAACACCATATGCATCCTTATTTTATGAAAGAGATTACTGAAATTGGATATGATTTTCAGTCAATAACGGTACCTTCTTATGAGACTTTATCTATAAGATTTTATCATTTTTACTTGAATAAGATCTTATAACTTTTATTCAAATGCAATGTTTCTACTAGTTCATACTTCATTCCAGATTTAGAATACACTTTTAGACCAAGTAATTTGAAATGCATTAATTTATAAATTATACAATTCAGAATTTATTTATAGATGTTATAATATATTTTAGAATGTATAATCTAAAATAAGCTTTTAGATTACACAATCCTTAATACATTTATGAATTTTAAAATATATTTCTGATGGTATAATTTATAGTATTTTTCCTGATTCAATAACCTCAAATAGGTTTTTGAATTATATTATTTTAAATACATTTATAAATTATATAACCTAAAATACATTTTTAAATTATATAATATAAAATACTTTTTTAGATTGTACAATCTATACTATATACCATACAATTTACATAAGTTTCTAAATTATGCAATAATATATTAATAAATCTTTTATTCCACAATCCAAAATAAATATTACCTAATCCAATACTACATTTCAAAATTAGACCTGAACAATTTAGTTAAACAAATAGTTATAAAAAGTTACACAAATTTGAAGACTTGAATATAACAAGATTATAAAACTAGTTTATAAAATAATAAGATTTAATATAAACAGATTTTTATTATTAGAAAATGTAATCATATCTTTATTATTTAACAATATAATTATGTCTTTATTATTCAGTAATATAACTATATCCCTATGGTTTAGAGATATTTACAATTTATTTTCATATTATTAAACTCTTTATTTAAATACTATATTACTTAAATTCAATAGTATAATTAGATCTATTATTTAGAGATATTTCCAATTTATTTTCATATCATTAAACTCTTTATTTAAATATTATATTACTTAAATATAACTATACATAAATATAAATAGAACTATACATAATTATAATACTTAAAGCAAAATGAAATTCAAACTAATACCAGACTAAAAACATGGTTTTTTTGGTGTTTTTTTTTTCATGTAGATCAACTCCAAGGAGAAACATGGTTTTTTTTTTCTTTTTTTGTCTTTTTTTTCATAGAACAAATGTTGTGCTCCAGGTTTAGTGGAAATATTGTATATTGGCTGAATGTATACAATATCTAAAGTTCAAAACAAAGTTGGATTAAAGATACTAATTCGGGACAACCAAAAGAAACCTTGGAATTCTACAATCAATACGGTAACATGTACCAAGTATGCACCTAGGCTTGATGTAAACTCTCTTATGTATATCTTAAGGAGAACAAAACATTCGCAGCCATATATTCTTATCTTCATTTATTTCGTTATTCATATCAACATATATTTGTATCTTTAGTACTAAATTTAAGGACTATAATATGATCATTAAATTGATAACATAAAATTGGAATTTAATTAACCAACTATAATACATACTAATAGCTTCTGTGACGGTACCTAAATTGAAACACCATCATTCCTTAGCATTATTAGCTCAAATTAGAGTCACCAATCCAAATTAACCATCTATGTTTCAATCCAGTGCAAACAGAACAAACATATAAGTAATTGACCAATTTTGAAATTCAGAAACAGACCCATACCTTCCATTTAATGCAGTAAATGATGAACTTATCCTGCAACACCCACTTCTGCTATGGGACCTTCATCTTGTAATACCAATTTACAATTACATATGTAATGCATTTAAAACAAAACCAAACATAAATTTTATACCAAAATACATAAGTATACAATAAAAAATCTACTATTACTTAATGAAGTTAAAGAACAATGATAATACACAGAGTCAATTAATGAAAAAATAACTTACATTACCAATACTGACCTCATAATTATACATTTTAATATTCTAAATTTTCACATCAATATTTTAATATATAATAATATAAAATTTACTTATTAATGTAATTTATTAAACCTTTCAAACCAATTAATACATCTATTTATAACATATAACTGTAATAATTATATATATATATATATATATATATATATATATATATATAATATCTATTATATATATTAAACAGAGGTGGAGACAACTTAGTTTGGGACGCAAAAGGCTTTGATTTCAGTATCATTCATCCACAGGTAGTAGCGAAGGAAGTAAGCAGGGCTGATTCTATTTCTGTCTTCAAATATAGTTGCTTTGCTTCCACTAAACCTGGCTATTTTGTTGTTTATTATGTGTTATTCGTAGTTTGTGTTCTGTTATTCATAGGTTTTTTACCTGCTGTGTTTATTTTTCTAACAGTTATCATACTTGTGTTTTTGGATCTGAGTTTTATATATTTGATTTATTTTCCTGTGCTAGGTCGTTCAATCTATCTCTTTGGAAATTTCCTTGTATGATGTAAAATACCCACTCGTTGAGTTCCTCATTTGTTTGTCCTTTCCGTTATGCTTCAGATTTTTGTTACATTGCACTTTTTTCAATATATTTGATTTTGCCCACAAACTGTTTGATGTGTGTTCTGAAGAAGCGAGGATGACCACGTACTGTGATTTTCCAGTTTCAATTTTATTTATATAAATATTTGCAGCAATTTCTTTGGAGATGCCTCCTGTTATTGTTATTAGTAGCTTATTAGACTACATATATTTTGTGACCCGGTATATATAGCCTATAAAGATACACAATACATCAAAATTATCGTTGATTTTGAAGATCAGTTAGTTTATCCTAATAGGGATTCTGTCAATTAAGGGAATTTAATTTCTCTATTTGGACAAACACTTTTCGCAACTGAAGGAATTTATGTGAAGCAAATGAATTGTGTAGATTTTAAAATGCATCTTCGAAATTCACACCTAGATTTTTATTTTCAAAGAACTTAGTTGCCTCTTATCGTGATATTTCACGGATGTATTGTGACAGCACTGGCAGAGCAAGAATCTGGAAAACATGCTAGCTAGATGTTCAAGCCAGATTTTCTTTAGAGTGATCACGGATTCATTCAAAGTATTTCCACCATCAATTGCAATTGTGGATGGAATTGACTTCAAATTTGAGTTATCACATCTTCCCTTTAGCATAATAAGTCAAGTTGTTTTGAACTAGTTACATCATTTGTAAAATCTGTTTGTGTATGCTGTAATAGAATTGTTATACATCAAATAGGATAAAAAAAAATTCTGCATGTCTTCTGGGATTTTCTAATAAAGAAAATTGCTGTATTATGAACTTGAATTAATTTTTAGCATCTGTTGATATTGCCTGTTATTTGAATTAGTAACTCTACCAAAACCTAAGGTTGATCCTGGTTTGTACTTTTATTTTGTCCGTCTTGGAATCAAATATGAAAAGGATTGAATATTTGTGTTCCATACAAATAATTTTCTTTATCATTTCTTTGTTTCTTTGTTCCCATGAAGTTTTATGCTCTTTTTTCTGTTGTAAACCTTCTTTGTTCTCTCCAGTCGAATTGCTTTCTTTTATACCTCCCCATCCTCTCATCATTTAGTTATAGTTTTTTTATTTATTTTCTGCTAATAAGATTCCTAAATATTTAAAATATGGCATCCTGTGCAGGAAAGTAGATTGTGGATACTGATAGAAACAAATGAGATCCGACACGGCTAGTATCTATCGCCATCTTCTCAAGGCGGTCAAGAAACATATTGGGAATGAAGAGAACAAGAGTCATTTTTCAAAATTTGTAACCTCGGAGTTCCGTAACAACAAAAATTTGTCTGATGGTGTGGCTGTCCAACAGAAAATAAAACTTGCTCGTGATTATACTTTTCTTCTTAACAGTGTACACCATCAGAAGGTATTATTTACTTTCTGTTACATTTTCCTTTAAATTTTAAAATAGTCGTTTGTTTATGACTGTGGGTAAGAAGTTTGATTGAGCAGTTATTATTTGTCAAATGAGATTTACACGAACTAGCTCAGTTAAAAGCTTGATTTGACAACCGTCAACAACTTTAGATAAGGCACTCATATTAAACGAAAATAAGAAACATGGAAGAGGATGTGTTTTTTTACCAGTGATCAACAACACCGAGGCGTGTCTGAGCCAGGAGAAAATGAATGCAGATATCATCTTGTTTTGACTCATTTTATGTTTGCAATATATATATTTTCTTGAAAAACTGCGTTATATGAGTCTGTCTCTTTGACCATGCATCACTATTGCCAATTTTTGCAGGATTTACTTTTTTCATACAATATTGCCGTGGATAGATCAGATGAAGTGAAAAGGACTCTTGGAAAATCTGCTTCAAGTGTTGGTCTTCAGCTTCCTGAGGTTTATCAGTCATAATAATTTGTAGTTTGATTTTTGCATGCATGGAACGTGACAGTGTACTGCTGCAGAGAAGGGGCAACTAGTGAAGGTTGCTTTAGTTTTCCTTCATTATTGGTAATTACCAACCCAGTAGATTTTACTTTGGCGACTGCTTTTTCTGAATGAAAATTTGTTTTCGTATTATTTATCCAGAACTCAAAAACTAGTGAAGAAAAAGAGGAAAGAGACTCATAGCTGATGAATAAATTATATGATTCACACATTGGTTATTTCTTTTTAATAACGAACTCTATAGTCTGAGTGTGATAAATATTTCCCTCTAATAAAAAATTTCTTCCTGGTTTCTTAACCGATATTGACTCCGTGCTGTTCTAACCCATTTATCTTGGTAAGTAACAATGTAAGTTTGCTTGAACTCCCTATGCTTGGGCTTGACCCTGTCATTTTAAAAAACTGTAAAATACTTTTTTTCTCTCAAAATAGGTTAATTTCCGCGCATGGTTAAAAGGGTCTGAACGAACTTTTAAGAAATATTGATAAAAGTAATTTTTTTGGAGTGCTCTCTTATAAAGAAGAATGAAACATACCTCAATAATATCCTGAACGTTAGAGCTTTAAAGATCGGCATTATGTTCTTTTGCGAATCAAAGGTCAAAATATATAAAACTACAGAATTAACAGAACTCGAGGATCAAGACGAACGATCAAAAGATCTCCCTAAAAGCTTCATTTGTCTTTTGTACTTTAGATTTAATTTCAAAGTTAAATTTAGTTAATTTAAAAGAGACTTCAACTTGTATCATGTAATAAAATAGTGGATGGCTTATAATATATTCGAAAACAGACCATATCAATACCAACGTATACAAACTTGAGTACTTTTTATAATTAAATGTCTTTTGGACGCTGCTGATGTTATAATATAATTTATTGCTATCAAAATTATGTTTATATCACCATTATATAATTTTCTCATTGTATATTAAATAGTAAATGTACATTTTTCAACTAATTTTTCTGATATTTTTTTCTTGGGTTAGTAACAACTGTTTCATAAAACCAAACAGGTATTCTAGCTTATAAAACGAAATAATAAATACTTGGGCATTATTATTAAATTCATTAGAAACAGTGTAAGATTTTTTTAACTGGGATTGGGGCCAGTGTTGTGAATGAGAAGAGTGAAGGAGTGGAAAAGAATATGACTAGCCTCGCAGAACAAACTACTGACAACTATTAAGATGTTGCCTGTTGAGAAGGTATTACAGTTAAACAAACCATAAAAGTATGAGGCAAGTAAGAATCAGTCATATTTTGATGTGAAGTGTGGCTATGAAGCATCATCTTTACAGACCTGCATGGAGCTTTTGAACTAACTAGCAGCCTTGTCAAGAAAAGAACCCAAACTTCTGTTTTATCCATTTCAGATATTTATAGGAACTCTCATTTGTACAAAACATATGCATCTCCTGCTCCTTGGATAGCCTTTCCTTCACTGCTTTTAAGGTTCCTTAAATCCCATAGCATAACACTTTTCTTGTTCCCAGCACCCTTTTCCTTATCTAGAAAACATGGCTAATGAGCAAATGAAGCCCATTGCCACCCTTCTTTTGGTGTTGAACTTCTGCATGTATGCCGTAGTTTTGGGCATTGGTGGATGGGCAATGAACAGAGCAATAGATCATGGTTTTATCATAGGTGAGGAAATTTATAATGTCCCTATGTTTCCTCCAATGCAACCAACCAAACATTATGTTTCTTCAGCATGCTTATGCTGTTAAGACACTATTTTTGCAGGTCCAGAATTAAAACTGCCAGCACACTTTTCACCCTTATTCTTCCCAATGGGAAATGCTTCCACTGGATTCTTTGTAACATTTGCTTTGCTTGCTGGAGTGGTTGGTGCTGCATCAGCAATATCAGGAATCACTCATATCCGGTCGTGGACTGCTGAGAGCTTACCATCTGCAGCTTCAGTTGCTACCATGGCTTGGACTCTTACACTCTTGGCCATGGGGTAATGTTTTCTCTATTCTTCACCCCCTCCCAAAAAATAATTATGCAGGATTATTTTACTTATCTTACCAGAATCAAATTTATGCAGATTTGCTTGGAAAGAGATTGGACTTCGTGTAAGAAATGCACGTCTGGTAAGACAGGAAGATTCATTTACTTTCTTAATAGCATTCTTGTAGTATTTGTTCATCATTCAGACCTCTGAAATGTCCAATTTTGCAGAAAACAATGGAGTCTTTTATAATTATACTTTCAGCTACACAGCTTTTCTACATATTTGCCATTCATAGTGCTACTGCATACAGAAGATAAAACGGAAGGTTGAGGGAATATGGTGGTGGTGGTGGTTTTCTTTTTTCTTTTTTTTCCTTTTTTTCCTATGAAGGCTTGTATTGGTGTGCTTGTATTTTTCTCTTTCATTTCTTTCTTTTTCTGCTCAAAGGAAAATTAGCATCAGAGTGTAGAGTGTGGTTTGAATGATTGGAATTGTATGAATCAATAATACATCATTTACGAGAGCAATAAAGGAGAACATGCTCCCTTTTAAGTTATTTCAAACCGTCCTTTTCATTTTACATATCTATTTCTTAATTTTATTTTATTAATAAACTAGTTTTCTTTCTATGTTTCTATTATTTAATATTTAATTTATTTCTTTTAATATATTCTTTTATCCTTATATATTTTCATTATTTACTTTATTCCAATAATATATTGATTTTTAATGAAATAAATTATTTTTAATAAATGGTTTATCCAAAGACCATTTCACGAACAAGGGCACATTAGAGATATGATTGCACCATATGTTAGAAGATAAAGAATGTTGATTCCATCGTACATTCGATGATTAATGTCAAAGTGAATTTTCTTAAAGAAGTTTCACAGTGAATTTAGCCACTGCGGCTCTACATTATAAAGGGTGAAATAAACAGTACTATGACAATAATTCCAGAGCGCAGAATTAACAAAAGCATTGAGAGATTGTCATTGTTGCTTAAACAATAGCTACAAACAAACATCCATTGTAATGTAAACAAACGTTGTATGGATTATACAGTTTTGTCTGGTTGCCTGCTATATTTTAGAAAATCTTCAAAGGAGATAATCTGAATCAACATATAGCAAAATTTTGGGCAAAAATGCTTCTAAATCTTCACAAGTTTGACCCATCAGTATAGATACTCTCGCTTGTATTTCTGCAAGAAAAGTTTATTTGCAAGTTTAAAATGTATATTGACACAGTGATATTCTACTACAGTAATCCACAAAATAACCATTATCAGAAAGAATAGCACAACTTAAAAATCAATTCATACATCACATACAAGTAAGAAACTACATCTTGAATATTCAAATCTTTATCAAGGAAACATGAATATTTGATAATGCTGAGCTCAGACTAAGTAGAACTTAAATAACAACAAAGAACAAACTTCAGTCACAATGATATGCATACACTGCTAGCTCTAGATGAATCTCATTAACAAGACAGTGTCATCAACAATAACAAAGAAAATCAGATGAAGAAAGTAAAGTTATATAAGACAATTAGAGGATAAGAGATTTTTCACGACAAAGAATTGGAAAATGAATAATAAAGAATGAGACAAATCACTAATGGAGCAGAGTTACCTAATCACTCCGTGTACAAGTCATAGAGTCCCTCTTAAAAGACCATGTTTTAAAACCAAATAGAAGCAAATTTCCTAACCACGTTCTAAAACACCTGCTCAGTCAAGCATTTCCTATAAAAAATATTATCTTTGTGCTCTACCCAAATGCACCAAAGATTGACAGTTACAAAAATTTAGCATCTTTATTTGTATCAAAACCATTGAAGCTAGTATCTAAAAATTGGTCGACAAACCTATGACACCCATTCACCAAAAAGACAAAAGCAATAATTACTGAATAAAGAAAACACACCAAACTTCCCTCTATTCACAAAGTCCAAATATCCAACCAGTTATAAACAATACAAACCGGATAAGCACTTGAAACAACTACAAGCAAGACACAAGAGGGAGCTTTTCTATCTATATAAATACACTCTTTTAAGTTGAAGGATAGTCCACAAAACATGATCATACATGGTAAAATAATTTCAAAGGGAAAACCTGAAATTATCTATGTGAGCTGGAGAGAACTTCAAACAATCCACAGCAACTCAACCATGAAGTCTTTTGCACCACGTTTGGAGCCAATGCTGCATGAGGCTGCATATTAACGCAGCAAAGAAAATATATTTAAAATTACTTCCAAACAAAAAGTTTACAAATCATAATTGTGTGATGAAAAACTTGTAATGTAAATGTGAGAAAATGTAAAACCTGATTCTTGGAACGTTCTGCGAGGTCACAATCCTTAATATGCTTTGCACCATTGGTAAATTTGGTGAAAGCACTAGCAGACACTGGAGTTAAAGTGTTACTATCACATTCCTTTAGCTTAGGCTCCTCCATACTTAATGTTCTCTCATTCTCATTGGTTAAGGAGTATACATTATCTTCATTTAACTTCATAGCGAGATTGTTCACTTCTTCAGGATGAACTACTGGCTTATCTAGTACAACATTTCCACTATCACTGTTTTCTATCTTGGACACAGAATCGTTAGACTTAACAGACACGTGACAAACAACTGCCTCTTCGACTGAAATAAAATTTCCATTGTTCGAGTTCTTCTCGGAGAGGGATTCACCCTGTGAAGTATAGCTGCCATTCTCATTCTCATTTTCAAAATATGATTCCTTGGCAGTCTCATGGTGCTCAAAACTTACACTTTTGCTCTCAGAACTCTCCTCAGACTTCAAACTTTCCTCTACCAAAACAACACAATCTTCCTTTCCTCCAAACACTTGGTCAATCTTGACATCACTAAAGGCCACTTTCAAGGACTCGACATCAGAAGCATGCGGCTGTGCAGCAGATTGCAGTTCTTCACTTCCATCTTTGAATGGATTATGCTGGTCATCATGTCCGTTATATGCAGGAAAATTACCCTCACCACCATCACTTCCATCCTCCCCTATTGACTTCAAACCACCATTTCCTAACATTTCGGCATAATCAATCAAACTATTTCAATTAATGCAACCAAATTAACAAATACTCATGCACCCTACTCAACAAACCCAACCATGCTGCACACTTCCGACAATTATTTTAAATCCCAGTGAAAGTGAAACAAAACAAGAATAATTAACAGAACCCCATCTAACAAAACAGAACAAAAAACCAAAAACAGACATGATATACAACTGAAAAGGGCCCATCTATGTTTAATTGCAAGATGCACATGCATTTGAAGTAAAAAGGGTACCTTGGGGATTGTTGGTTGATGGATTGGTTTTGTTTTCCTTTTCCTTCCTTTTCCTAGCCGCTTTTCTCTTCTTAGCACCTGAAGGCATGATTGGGAGAGTGAAATAGGACGGTGGGGTGCTATGCTTCCCCTCACTATTCAGTGGGGACGATGAAGCTACCACACACAAACCAAATCTACAAAGAAAGAGAGAGAGAGTGAAAGTGAACGGTTAACAACTATGTTTCTCTTATGCTCTGAATATATAATGCAAATGCAGTGAGAAAGCAAAGAAAATTATTGGGCTAGTGAAAAAGGTTGTCATGTCATGTTCAAGCTTCAAAGTTCAAACTGTAGAACTACCCACAAAGACAAGTTTCAAACTTTCAAATTTGTTTTTGCGGTAAAAAAAATCCCAAATTTTGGATCTGTTTTTGATTGGTTGTTTGGATTTAATCATTAAATTTCAACCACTTTAAGAAAAATAAACTTCTGAAACGCTTAAATTAATAATAGTATTAATGCAAAATTTAGACGTTATATAAAATATGATGATAATAGAGAAACATCTCGATTTTTCTATTTTTTTATTTTAAAATGTAAATAATTTAAAATAAGTGAACTTTCTTTTCATTTAACATCTATTCATCATTAATAAAATAACATTTTTACTTTAAAATATAAAATAATTTAAAATTAATGAATTTAAAGAAAAAATGTTTTTTATTAGGTACGGAATAAGAATATGAAGATTAAGAGGTTACTTACCATCAAACTTTTTCCTGTAAAATACTGAGAAAACGTTTCTTACATGAACACCTTGTATATTATACGTTTAAAATTTTAAAAGATGTATAATTGTCACACTCTCTATATATTCGAAAATTAAATAAAATATTTTCTTTTAGGAACTAAATTAAATCTAGTTTATGCATTCAAGACAAAAAGGATCATTTACCTTTTCAAAAAGTATTAATTTTATAAAAATTATATTTATTTTTATTAAAAACTAATTTTAAACTCGTTTCTACAAAAGGAAATGATATTTACTTGTTTGTTTGTTAATTTATTAAATGAGATTTAGAAATTAAATAAAGAAATTAAATAAAGAAATAATAAATATTTTTAAATTTATAATTAAGTTTTAAATAAATCAATATAGAAAACAATTTATAAGTTTAGAAATTAATATCTATAAAATAAATAAATAATAAACTTAATAAAAATTGAAAGAATAAAACATGTATAAAAAGAAACTAGACTTTATAAAAATAACACAGAAATATACAAAAATATGTACAAGACTGTTATAATTAATCATTATAGACTCGATTAATAACAATATACATATATCAGAGATATATTTTAAAACAATTAATTTATCAGTTTTTTTTTCTTTTTTTTCTATTTTACGAAAGTCTTAAATTCTATATTTTTTAAGTTAAAAATTATAAAAATTAATTAAAATAATATAAAGCAAAATGCATAATATTAAGAAATGTGTTTTTTTTATTACAAATATTTTATTTAAATATTTGAAATGAATTGATAAATACAATGTTTTAAATTTATTTTGTTACAAATTTAAATATTTAAAACTTTATACCAATTTATACGTATATATGGTTAATGCTAATTTTTTTATTAAATACTATGAGTTTAATTTTTAAATACTAAAAATATTAAACAAATTATATTGCAATTTAATGTAAAAAGATATATGTAATTTTTCATAGACTATCTTTTGTAAGATAAAATTATTAATTGAATTTTTCAACATTATAAATAATTTATATTATTGGTTAGATATATTATCTTTATTTTATATTTATTTTTTATCTTTAGTTTGCTTGTTATTATTTCTTATTTGTATCTTGGACTTAGCTCATATTACTTCTATTATAAATAGAGGATTCTATATCTATATTTAACATAAAGGAGATTAATTATATACATAATTTTCACTATATTCAACATGGTATTCAGAGTCTAAGGTTCTTTTTAGGAAAAAGTTTCTCGTGCCTCTGTCACTACATTCATTGATGTCGGCGGTAGCGCCATCTACAATCGTTGGCGACGCCATTTTCTACCGTTGTCATTATCGGAATTCAAGTTTCGACCGACGATCACATGGTTTTGATCGTCTCGGTCAGGCAACCACCATGCCATTAACGACGCCTTCATCGGAGCTCCTACGCGTTCTTAGCACCTTTTGAAGTTTTGGATTTGCTCATTTT